GAGCTCCCCTATAATGGCAGAGTAAGGGTCCCTGGTGTTTCCCCATGAATATCTAAAGCAATGTCCTCCTACTGGATGATGTGTTGTACTGACATTTTGTTTGTCAAAGTTAACTCACCCACCCTAAGTAAGCCAAAAAATGCTATAACATACGCAAAACTGAAGAGCTTTGCTTCATATGTAGATGAACATATAATAGGGAGAGAGTGCACTTTCCTCTTCAAGAGATTGACAGAAATGGGTAAACGGGTATACCCTCTATCATCTTGCTGACAAGAAACGAATGTGTTGGGTCTTCCCCTCCCAACAATTTGCATTTAAACCCAATTCCCGATAAATAAGATCTGACTGTAGATGGGGACTTGTTTTGTATTGAAAGGAAAGCTATGAAATGAACAACATGGTCCATAGGTGGAGGCCAGGTATTACCTAGATTACCCAAAGTCCGAAATCGTTCGAACTCTCGCAAAGCAGTTTCATATGTTGAGGTTGTATTTTTTGCAACTGATATTTTTAACAATCGGTCACGTTCAGCCTGGAGATCAGAGAATGAAATTCTTGTGGAATCGCCTCTGGGTACTCTGATGCCAATTGGTGCTAGGTTCCGGAAACGCTTCCACTGTTTGCGAGAAATTGAGTCCGCAATGTCATTGTCAACACCCCTAATATGCTGAGCCTTGAACTGGACATTGTGTTTCATGATAAGCAAAACAAAATATCTAACCAAGACCATGATCGCTGGGGATCGAGATGTTTGATTGTTAAGAACTGATACCAAAGCTAAGTTATCTACTCGAAACTTTACTCTTCGATCTGCAAGACGAGGTCCCCATTACAGTAGCGAAAGTACTATGGGAATAAACTCCAAGAGACTCAGGCTACCCAGGATTGGTTTACCTTCCCAATTGTCAGTCCACTGGTAAAATACCCAGCTGCCAGCAAAATATGCTCCACAGCCCAAATCATCAGCACCTGAACTGTCTGTGAAAAGACTAAGTGTGTCATTGTCCTGCCAAGTAGATGAATGGATGCATGCCCCCTACCATTAAAATCTGACAAAAAATTCAACCACATAGTGATATCATCTTTTATTGTCTGTGAGATACGAATGTGATGAAACTGTGCCTTCACCGACGTCATGATATCATGGAACCTTCGTAAGAAGGCTCTGTCTGGTACAATGGCTTTACAAAAGAAACTGAGAGACCCAACTAGGGATTCTAACTTAGCCCTAGTGATTTTCTTTGAATGTAGCAGTCAAAATGCTCTGTTTTAGCTCCAACATTTTCTCGGGTGGTACTCTGATCATCATTTCAACAGTATCAATTTCATATCCCAGAAAAATGAGGCTTTTGATTTGGCCAATAGTTTTTTCCTGTGCTAATGGAACCCCCAACTCCAAACATATGTTTTGAAAACCAACCATTAATTGGTGACACTTATTTGAACCCTTTTCACCACAGAAGAGAAAGTCATCAAGGTAATGATCCAAACTAAATAAACCTACCCTGTTCTCCACTAGCCATTGCAGAAATGTTGAAAAAATTCAAATAGGTTGCACGAAGCTGAACATCCCATAGGGAGACATTTGTCAATATAATAGTTGTCCTCAAACTGAAATCCCAGTAGATCAAAGTCACCTGGATGTATTAAAAGTAATCTGAAGGCTGACTTTATGTCTATTTTCCCCAGAAGTGTTCCCTTACCAAGCTTGGCTATCATTTCAATAATGTCATCAAATTTTGAATACTTTACTGTACTTTATTCTTCTTCAATAAAATCATTAACACTACTATTGAAAGGGAAAGACAGATGTGTGATTAGCCTCCATGTGTTATCAGGTTTGGGAACAATACCTATAGGAGATGTCCTAAGTGTTTAAATAGGTCGTACTTTAAATGGGCATAACATCCTACCCAAACTGACTTCCTTCAAGATCTTTTCTTTTGCTGCTGCAGGATTCTCAGAAACTGAAACTAAGTTTGAACACTCTGTTGGATGTCTGGGGCCTAAATAATGTAAACGGAAACCATGAGAAAACCCAGTCAACAATTAATTTGCCTCCGTCATTCTTGGGTACTGGCTTAGACATTTTTTTAAGTGTTCAGTTTTGATGGGTGTGGTTGCCAGGGCCCATATATCCCTGTCCACGTCCCCTCCCCCTTGTACCTTTGAAGGGCATTCTTGGATTGTTACCTGGGTATGGAGAGCGGGTGGGAGTTTGAAAGTGAGTTTGCCGGGGGGGGGGGGAAGCTGGGTTAAGAAATGGTTGCTGTTGTGTGCACATGACTGAAGGATGGTCCCCTGAACAATTCAAACAAGTATGTAAGTAATGACATGGGTAACGGAAGCAGGACCTCTTATTGAAATCAAAGCATTTCCCACTAGTCCTGGCATTGAAACGCGGTTGATAACGAGATTGGGGAACTGGAAACCTATCATTCATGTAAAGCAGCCAGAGTTCATCATCTATCTTTACCCAATCAGACACAGGATTAGAACTTTTTCTTAGACGATATTGCTCGTCATAACTTTTCCATCCCAGACCATTACATCTCCTAGCCCCAGCTGTCCATATACTTTAACAACCCAGGTATTTTAGCTAGATGGGCTGTTCCGTAGATGGCAATAAATACATCTGTCCACTTTTCAATGGAGGTTATTTTTTCAGAGGAGATGGATTTTGTTATCAACTGACCATTTTTTATAATAACTTTTGCTCATCCCCATCTTGGGGTCCCCTTTTTAATAAAGTCCCCAGGTTCCCATATTTTCCTTCAATTATTTTTGTTCTGGTACCCTCGGAGACATTTTCCCCAAGCTTAGAGTACACGCTGACTACTGGGATAATTAGGTCAGCCTCATCACCTGATGAATCATCTGGTACTTCCTCATTCTGATCAGGGACTGTCTCCTGAACCTCTGGCTCAGCCTCCTGAACGTCCAGCTCAGCCTCCTGCTGTGCCCTCCGCTTTGCAGCCCTTGTTGCCGTTCCAGGTTACTTCCTTTTGGGCATTATTAACAGCAACTACCGTAGACATCGGAAAAAGGAACTCTATATTAATATATTAACCACACATTTCAACAATACACATGTGCCACATTTACTGTAGGATATTAATAATGTATCATTGAAATATTATATGCAAAGGGCTTTTAAACTGATCAATTAAAAAAAAAATACCGATTAAATACAGGCCCTGATTATTAATTGAACCACATGATAAAATAGGTCAAGTTTTGACTAAGAGCACTATACTGTAGTATTACATAATGCATGGTCGAACAGAGGTGTGTTTGATCTACACTTAGAATTCAGTATTAATCTCCTGTATACTAAGTTATCTCCCTTAACATTGTTATGCTTCGTGCCGATCAAATCTTCGCAAGCCGTCAAAACAAAACCCGCCAGCCGTCAAAACAAACCATGTGTGTACCATGCGTGTAGGTCACGTGTACTCGGGCCGACGGCGTGATCACTAGTTCGACCTTGACTTTTTCCCTTTCTCACTACATCATATCATCGTCAACTAAACGAATGAATTTCAACTCGTACAAAATAGCATCGCTATTTTATCTTAACTTAAATACTCAAACGATAGCATAGTCAAGAACGATGCACTGACAACTATTTATCAATGTAACATAGTTATCAACAGTTTGGCCTAGTTCGGTCCTGGCGACCTCGTGGCTTTCGCTGTCTCGGCCGAAAAAGGTTAATATTACAGCACTAAACGATTGCTTGCATTCCTCTCATTACGAAATGAAGTTAATATCAACAATACAATATTTATGACAAAATTATTTTCTCTAAAATTTGCATGGATTTGCTTATATATATTATCAAATTGAATGCATGTCATACCGTGTTCAGTGATCTGTTGAAAAGGATGTAGCGTGATTGGTACGCCCCCTATAATTCAAAACTGTGTCACAAAATAAAAAGGGGGATAACTCGAATACAGCGACAGAGTCTGCAAACATTCCCCAATACACTATAAAGGTATAACATTAATCTTTCACAATAACAGTCGACTATTAGGCAGAGTAATAGTCGTTAATATTGTTATAAACAAAATTTTAAGATGCTATTGAAGGTTTGCTGTCAAACAATATAATATCCACAAGACTATATAGGACTATAGTTTTGCGTTGTGTCCATCTGAACTTTATCTTGTCTTGGCTCAGTCTCCTACACTACTTGTCACTGTAACTTCATACTTGGGTCATGGATTCACTTAGGCAAGGCGGTGTGTCATGTACCAAAAGTAGGTCATTATGACGTACATTTTGACCTTTGACCTATATCAAACAAAAAAAATCGTCCAGGTGTTTTGGTATAAATCATGACAAGAAGTTACTGTCGGTTCAAACAAGCTGTATTCAAACATGGCCGCCTACATATCAACCCACCTGGTATAGTCCATATCACAAATATGCTTAGCACATGGTTATAGTCTGTTTCCTAAAGATGTATAACACTACATCTCCCTTTCTTTACCCGGGTCTAATGTTATCAAAATATTAAACCGTTATTGAACAAACTATTAGACAATCACTTTAGCAAATTAGAAATATCTGTATCATTAACTATGATATCCAGAAACACATCTTAAAACTAATATCTTTGAAACATGTCCATCACATAAATGAACTGAACTGCATAGGACTAGAATTATTAAAGTTCCATAAAAATAGTCCATAAACTATTAACACTGAAACTGTTAGCACTGTTCTGAACATAAAAAAGCACATTGTTTACAAGTCCATCCTTTTAGGTGGAACAGAAAGTCTCCCTGATCTTGTATGGACACCGACATGAGGACGGTTTATGGGACTAGTTCCTCCATAGGCAATTGGACGCGACGCGGACACGACGCGATTGGTAGCCTTGTCTACATCCACTGAACTTCCCGTTATAGGAATGTCATCATCCAGTTCTGGCGATTCAGCGATCATTGGACCGGAAGTTGGAACCAGATGACGTCTGTTTCTGCGAATCATGCCCTTTGAAGTTTGAACGTGATATGAACGTGGAGTAATGCAGGCATAACTACTTCTCCCAGAGTTGCGAAATCTTTGATCCACACGCGATCTCCCGGTTTCAGCACAGTTTCATCCTTAACACGATGACGTTTGTCATAGTTGATTTTCTGCTTTTCAGACTGAACCGATTCCTTAGACTGGACATCCTCCAAGTAAGGCCAACTGGGTACAAGTTGGTTTGGTCCAATGAGCAGATTCGTTTTGATACGGCGCCCCATACAGAGTTCCACGGGACTATAGCCATTCTGTAGCGGTGTTGCACGATAAGACATTAATGCAACGTAAGGGTCTGCATTTTTCCGTAACAGTTTCTTTACCGTCTGCACCGCTCGTTCCGCTTCCCCATTACTCTGAGGAAACTTCGGACTACTGGTTACATGTTCAAACCCGAAGTCACGCACGAATTGTTTGAACACATCTGACGAGTACTGTGGTTCGTTATCAGAGACCAGAATGTCCACTATGCCATGACGGCTGAAAATGGATTTTAGATGTACAATAATGTCTTCTGACGTAGTAGAGTCCAATTTTGCTATTTCCACGAAACGCGAAAAGTAGTCCACGACTAGTAGGTAATTACTTCCTTTGAAGTAGAACAAGTCTGTTCCTGCACGTTGCCATGGTCTCATAGGTAATGGAGTCGGAATCAAAGGTTCCGCAGAATCATTTCTAGTTTCAGCACAGACATGACACGAGTTCACTATGTCTTGGATTTGCGAACTCAGTCCGAGCCACCATACCGACGATTTGGCTCGTTCACGACATTTTGCTATTCCAAGGTGCCCTTCATGGATTCTTTCCAAGATTTCAGAGCGAAGTGTCGGTGGAATGATTAAACGATCGTCTTTGAGTGAAAGTCCATCAAGGATCGTAATTTCACCACGTAACCCCCAGTAGGGTTTCACAATCTCGTCCAAATGAGATTTGTCCTCAGGCCAACCTCCAAGCACAAGCGACATGAGCTTTGAGCACGCTGGGTCTAAACTTTAGTTCAGATCTGATCAGTTCAAGGCGTGTATTTGATGCAGGTATGCTGTCTATAACTGCCTCAACAAAGTACTCAGTTTCATTTTGGAGGGTTTCGTCTTCAGGGACGCGGCGTGTCAATGGCGCACGCGATAGAGTGTCTGGCGCACATAGTTCTTTTCCTGGCACATGGAATATCTCATAGGTGTAACGCATTAGTCTCATACGGAAGCGTTGTATGCGTGGGGGTAATTCACTCAGGTTTTTCGAGCCTAGCAGCGCGATCAAGGGTTTGTGATCTGTTTCCAATCGAAATTTGAGTCCCAACAAGTAGTCACTGAAACGATCGCAGGCCCATGTGAGAGCCAGAGCCTCTTTTTCAATCTGGGCATACCGTTGTTTTGTAGGCGTCATTGCACGAGAACAGAATGCCACTGGTCTTCTCATACCATTTTCCTGAATTTGTGTAATCACCACACCAATCCCAAATGATGACGCATCCGCTGACACAACAGTCTCTTTATTAGGGTCATAAAGTGCCAACACAGGGCTGGAACACAGCTCACTTTTGACATCAGAGAACGCCTGTTCCTGAGTGGGACCCCATAACCACATGTTCTTGGTACTAAGTAGGTCACGAATAGGTTTCGTCTTCTCTGCGAGATTTGGCGAGAACTTACCTAGTTGGTTCACCATACCTAGGAAACGACGGACACCGGATATGTCCTTAGGCGCATCCATTTCCTGTATTGCCTGTACTCGGTCTGGGTCGGGACTTATTCCCTCGTCATTGATTACATGTCCGACAAACTTGATTTCAGTTTTCGCAAACTCACATTTCTCGTCGTTAAGTGTAACTCCTGCGTTTCTGAGTTTTCGAAGTACAGAGTTAACGCGTTTATCATGTTCCATCGTATCGGAACCATACACGAGTACATCATCTGTTTGGCACATTACGCCTTCCTCTCCATCGAGGATCTGAGACATCTTCTTTTGGAAGTGTTCGGGAGTGGAAGAAATTCCGAATGGCAATCTCCGGAAGTGGTATCTTCCGAACGGTGTAATGAATGTAGTCAACTTAGCCGATTCTTTAGACAACTTGACTTGCCAAAATCCTGAATTGGCATCCAACTTTGTGAATAGTTTTGCTCCGGCCAACTGTCCTAGAGTCTGGTCGACTACTGGAAGAGGATGTTTTTCGCGTTCAACGCTCTCATTTAGCTATGTCAGATCTACGCAGATTCAAACCTTTCCATTAGGTTTTGGTACCACTACCATACCTGCACACCAATCAGAGGGTTCATCGATGCGTGCAATAACTCCTAGTTCCTCCATGCGAGTCAACTCGTCCTTGACCTTGGGAAGGAGTGGTATCGGAACACGTGGCGGTGTACTAAGTGCGAAAGGGAAAGAGTCATCTCGAAGCTTAATTTGATACTCTCCCTCCATTTTTCCCAATCCTGTGAATAGGTCTGGATATTTGGCCTTAAAATCAGTTTGTTTTTCAGCTAACTCGTCTACTCTGGAGACAAGACCCAAAAGTTCCACAGCTTTTCGTCCGAGAAGTGGTTGTCGGAGACCATCAATTACAGAGATATCCTGGTCCACACACTTGTTTTTGATCTGTAGTGAGCATGTAAACATTCCGTGTACATTGAGTTTGTTGTGTCCAGGCCCATGTAGAACTTTATCTGATGGACGTAGCTTAAGTGTTCTTACACTTCCGGTAGACTTCCTTAGAAATTACTGTTATATCCGCACCTGTGTCTATTTTAAATTTTACATGTGTCTCTTGTAGTTTCACATTTACATACCAAGGGCTTGAATCTCCACATCCAACTTCCCCAAGGAAAACAACTTCCTGGGGTTCATCCTGCTCAGAGTCATAATAAATTTCTTCAATGTTTGTTTTGCAGCATTTTATGAAGTGTCCACGCTTTTTACATTTAATGCATGTTTTATCCTTAGCAGGACATCTCTCGCGAGGGTGATTTGGCGAATACCCACACCTTGGACATGACGATTTCTGTGTTGTTTTGTGTGTGTTATATTTCATTTTACCGCCCCGTGGTGAGCCTCTCCCCGCGTTTTGTTTATGTGTAGAGTAAGGGAATTTGTTTGCACCACCACTGTGTCTGTCTCGTTTGCCATGTATAGCATCAACAGATGATTTGGATGAATCAGATTGTGTGTCACTTCGAACCACGAATTGTTGTTTCTTTACAGCCTCGCTTTGGCGAGCTTGATTGACAGCTTTTTCGAGTGTCAAATTAGGATCAAGTTTAAGTTTTTCAGCCAATTTTTCGTCTCTCAAACCAACAACAATCCTATCTCTGATCATTTCATCATGTAAATCTCCGTAACCACAATGTTCAGCTAGTTAATACAGGGATGTAATGAAAGTGTCAACGCACTCACCTTCGTTCTGTTTACGTTGATTAAACTTGGCCCTCTCATAAATTGTATTTCTCCTTACTACGAAATGTGTTGAATTTTTCCTCAATAGTGTCATATTTCTGTCTATCGTCTGCCGTTAGCTTAAGTGAAGATAAAATGTCCTCTGCCGCGCTTCCCATTGTGTAAACAAGCGTATTTATTTGTGTTTCTTCGGTTTTCTCACTCAGACCTGAAGCCTGGCAAAACCGTTGAAAGCGTTTGAGCCACCGCTGCCATTCTTCCGGTTTGGAAAAGTTAAATTGCTCTGGCGCAGTTACCTAATATGTTGCCATTTTGTCGACTGGGCTTAGTTCTGTTCCTCAGCTCGTCGTTGTACAGTGTTAACCACTTTCTGACACCATGTTTTGGTATAAATCATGACAAGAAGTTACTGTCGGTTCAAACAAGCTGTATTCAAACATGGCCGCTTACATATCAACCCACGTGGTATAGCCTATATCACAAATATGCTTAGCACATGGTTATAGTCTGTTTCCTAAAGATGTATAACACTACACAGACTAGGCAAAGTCACTATATATCACTCATTCATCCTCTCAAACTTTAACTTCTGTCCCCTCACATGGCATTTCTGTGGCGAAACAAACACACAAAAAATGGACAAAAAATACAGGAAAGGGCACTCAGATTCATATACGACGACCACACATGTACATACTTAGTTTTATTGGCCCGCTCAAAATTACCCTCCCTCAAAATTAGACGCCTCAGAAATTTTGCGATCGAAGTATACAAAATTACAAACAAACAAACACCCACATACCTGCATGACCTCATTAGTACCACACAAAAGCCATACTCCTTTAGATACCACAACACAGCAGACATACCACAAGTAAGAACAACCAAATTTGGCAAACACTCTTTTCGATCTGAAGCACCAAAAATATGAAATCTCTGCCAGACCACTTTCGAACAGCAACAACACTTTCGCAATTCAAAACACTCATAAACAGCTGGTACGGACCACAATGTAAATGTGTCACATGCAAACAACCTACTTAATATACCACACAACAACATAGCATCACTTATTACTCTCAAGGTTTTTAAATTTGCTTTTACACCCCATGTTTTTAGACTGATATCTGCTATTTTAAACAGCTACATGTGTACATGTGCTTTTAAAAAATTATAGTGCTAACTTAGCTGAAAATGAAATGTGATGTATGAGTAAAGAATTGACTTTGTAACTGTTTTATGATGCAATGTGTATGTCCTGTATGTTAGTCGGTTTTAATAGCTCCTTAGAGCTAATGTTGTATTGTTATACCATGTACCGACTCTAAATAAAAAATTGACTTGACTTTGACTTTGTTCAATTTTCTGACAAGGTCTAGGAATTCAATATTGGACAGGAAGGTTGATGTTTGCTCAGGCAAACCAACAGTCAGTGGTACACCCAGATCTATGTCAATGTCATATTGTTCATGAGCGATAGCTTGAGGTTTGTAATAAATAAATGTGTTGCTGTTTGTAGTCCCCGATTCTTTATCTTGCTCAACCATATGTTGTGTCTGAGGTGCCAATTCGTTAAAGTGTTCAGACATATCTTCTTCAGCACGTTGTAAAGCATCATCGAGTTCTTGTACATGGTGCTCATATTCAGAACACTTCAGATCGACTGTTTGCTTCACGTGATTGTAATGATCTTCATACGTGTCGTATCCTCTAAGTAAATCAACCATTTCATTTCGCCAGGGAAAGAACAGCAGTATTTTTTTTCGATAATTGTTTCACTGTCTGTTTTGACATTATATCTAACATATGACTTTTCTGTTTTTCCTTTGTTTGATGTTAATGCCATTAGGCAGTTGCAGTTTTGTCCAGTTTTCTGTAATGTCATTTGTGTCATCATCAGTATCAGTGAATTGCACATCATTGACTTCATCACCAACCTTCTTCTGTTTGGGGTATTTACTATCTAGTTGCGAGACGTAGTCTGCTAAGCACATACTTTGGAGTTGTTGCGGACGCTTTGTCAGCTTCTATGGATTCAGATGTGTTGATGAAAACAACATCTCTGGAAGCTTTAGTTAGCGGTAGTTGAAATACAAGATATGCTGCATCTTGCGCACCCACTTTAACACTGTTCAGGAACTTGTTACCCATGTGGCGAACCTGATGCTTAATATCCATATTGCCCTTTCTGGCTTCCTTACATCCTTCATCAAGCAAAATACTCATACCTCTTTGTGATTTGCTGATGTATGCAACTATGTAGACAGCACATGCATATGGATCCAATAAAAATTGCAAGTCATGGTTATCATTCAAGGTTTCCAGAAGTGGTAGCATATATGGATTGTTTCTGGCTTCACACATTTGCCTTTGCAAGAAGACCTTGGGTGCTTTCAATGAGGATCTTATGCAAAGAATGTACTGATCTTGCGTCAGACTGCATTCAAAAACTCTTCAAATGACATGTTTGTTGTATCTTTAAGGTCATTTAACTTTGTCTGTATTTCAGCATACTTTTTCTTTAGATGTTCATGGTCTTCATCGAGTGGTTCCAAGATCATAGTTTTTGGTAAAGGAAGTAATGGGAAACCAAACCTACATTCCGCTTTTCCTTTCTTCCTGCATGTTTTGGAGTGGTTATGAGTTTGTATATTAACAAGAGATTTGAGATGTTCTGGTACATTTCCACTACAACTGATATATTTTTCTGCAAACTCTGCAATCTCGCTCTCTGAAGATGACGGTAAAAGTAGTCATCAAGTTCACCAAGTGGAGCATGATCAGACTTCAGCACTGTGTTGATCAACTGTAAAACACGGTTGTCAAAGTGCCTCGCACATGTGACTGGGTCTTGTTGTACAAGTCTAGTTTTGTCTTTCCACGTTATATTCTTCAACTGCTCTACTGTGTAAGTGACGCCATCATTTAATTCACCAAGGATTCTTAGCAAGTCATTCCATCTAGTATCACCAGCAGAAAGAGAACCAAACCATGTTAGCAGTCCAAGTTGTCTGATCATTGCAAAAACATCATTTTTTCTTTTCTCCAGGTAAGGTGGCGAGTTGCGCAAAGTTCGGAAAAATGTAAAATCCTTCATCAAGGTTCACTAGTTTGTTCATTTGGGATGTATTCAATGCATCAGCAGCTGTGATATTATTTTGTTTTCTTTTGCATCTCCAGACAGAAAGATTAACTTATCAGATATCTGTTTTGCCTGTATTTTTTTCATTTAAAAAAAAAAATTAGCACCGAGTTGGCTGCTCTTCTGTCGACATGTCTTAATTTCCTTTTTGCCAAATCACTATAGTGGACTTTAACTTCTCTTTCAGTGTTCTTGGTTCTTGCCTGACCACAATAAATTGCTGGAAATGAAAACTCTTCAGCATTTGGATCTTTGTATAGGCTATGAGGAATCTGGCCTTCCCTAGGTGCAAAAGTGTATGTAGAGTCACTCTATGGACACATTGGATCTATCAGTGTATCTGCATTTCCTATAATTCTCCCAGAAGTATCAATTTCACTGAATCCATCTGAATCATCACTTTCTTCAGCACAACTGGCTAGATTCTCTGGCTCACAGTCACTCAAGAAAATATTGACTACTCTGTCTGCACCATTTTCGTACACCAAGATTCATCAAATACAACACCTGAGTTTTTGTACAGTTCACTATTCGTAAGTAACCAGTGTAATGATGCAAGAACATGGTTAGGGCGAACGTTCTCTGTAACCTCAATTTTCTTGTATGCAAGTTTTCTTTTGAGTTTTACTGCAACAGCGGTTTCCTCAAATGTACGTGGTAATGCCTTAATAGTAGGCTGCATGTCGACAGGAACATTCACAACATTTCCATGGATGTTGAGCTGGAAATTGGAAGTTCACGTATTTGCATGAAAGGAATTCTTAAAGCTATCAAAGGTTCTTCAAGCTGGTGCAAGTTAAGCTTTGTTGGTTTTGATGGGAATGAATCTTTGTTCGCTTTTGCAAGACAAGGCATCTTGTTATTTTTCAAATTTGTATCACAGGTCTTACAAATCCATTCCTTGCCGTTTCGAGATATATAACCAGTTACACATTTCTTAACTAGTGGATGATTATGAGACACATTTGAAAGTTTAACAACAGAGTGCCGGAACCATGTTTGATGACACAAAGTGCACACATAGACAGGACCATCTGCAACAGCTTTCAGAAACTTGTGCTGTACACTTAGCATTGTTGAACCTTTCTTCAATCTTTTCATTATTCTTTACTTGCAGATCTTTTTTTAGTTTTTAATGTTCTATTTCTCTTTCTATCCTTTATCAAATTTGACTGGTTCCGTCTGTATGCCTGCTTTGCAATTCAATTTCAATTTCTTTCCTCTTTCTGTCCGATGTTTGTTCTTTTTGCCTATTTTGTGGTACGCTTCTTTCAATCTCTTTTCTCTTTCTATCCGATGTTTGTTCTCTTTGCCTATTTTGTGGTACGCTTCTTTCAATGTCTTTTCTCTTTCTATCCGATGTTTGTTCTCTTTGCCTATTTTGTGGTGCGCTTCTTTCATTCTCTTTTCTCTTTCTATCCGATGTTTGTTCTCTGCCTATTTTGTGGTACGCTTCTTTCAATCTCTTTTCTCTTTCTATCCGATGTTTGTTCTTTTTGCCTATTTTGTGGTACGATTCCTTCAATCTCTTTTCTCTTTCATTCCAATGTTCGTTCTTTTTGTCTATTTTGTTATACGCTTCTTTTAAGCTCTTTTCTCTTTCTATCCGATGTTTGTTCTTTTTGTTTTATGCCTGGTTTTGATCGAGATTTGGCCTTGACATAGGCTTCACGTTTCTTGATTTCTGGAAAACTTCTTTTGATCTCTTTCCTCTGTCTATCTGATGTTTGTTCTTGCTGTTTTATGTCTGGTTTTGATCGAGATTTGGCCTCGACATAGGCTTCACGTTTCTTGATTTCTGGAAAACTTCTTTTGATCTCTTTCCTCTGTCTATCTGATGTTTGTTCTTGCTGTTTTATGTCTGGTTTCGATCGAGATTTGGCCTTGACACAAGCTTCACGTTTCTTGATTTCCCGAAAACTTCTTTTGAATTCTTTCCTCCGTCTATCGAACACTTGTTCTTGCTCTCTGATTTGTGATATGCTTCTTTTGGTTTCTCGTCTGTTTTTATCATACAATTTCTCATTTATCTTGTATTCCTTATTTGTTCTTTGCTTTTGTTTGTATTCCTTTAGGTGCTGTTTCCGGCTTGTCTTTATTTGCCATTCCGTTTTTGTATTGACAGTCGCTTCTTTGCAAAGTTTCTGTTTCTTGGCACACATTTCGTTTTGAGAATCAAAGTATTTCCTCAAGTGTTGTGGTCCTTTTGTCACCAGTTTGACTTTTGCTTTCGTCGGGTTTTTTTAGTGACTGGGAGATTGTAGCTTGAGTAGCGATAACAACAGATTGTACTTCGAATTGAGTGTAGGGAGACATACCAAGATTGCTATAAAAATATTCCATGTAAGATACCAGATTTTCAACTGTTGAAAATGATGCAAGCAATGGTCATCCATTACTGCTGTACATCATATTAGGGCCATGAGGATGTGAATCAAAAAACAGATATTTGTGTCCTTCTTTTCTTATTGCTGAGCAAATTCCAAATGACCAAGGCAAATTCACTGTTGCGCAAAGTCACAGTAACAGCTGATGTGAGAGTGTAAACAAAATGAGAGTGTTGCTCTCTTTTAATAGTTCCTACATACATATTTAGCTTGTCAATAGTGTATGAAACAGAATCAAGTAGAACAACAGAGGGCAATTCAGAAATTTCTAGCATGTATGACTTGAATTTTTTGGGGGATTTCAATTTCTGTATAATGCTTTTATAAAGGTTATCACCTCTCATCAATATTTTGTTCAACATGTCTGGTGAGTGTTGTGTGTCAATCACCTTCGAAAATAGCAAATACATTACGGCATTACAAGTGCATTGTCTACCTCGAGACTCTGAACAAAATCTGTTGTCTGATTGTGAAAAGTTTCCCATTGTTTTTCCAGGAATTTGTCTGGGAGGTAGCACGTTTGCATTCTGTACTGGCATTTCAAAAGTATTGTGTGTAGCTTTTTCCTTTGTACTCTGGGCAAATGCTTTGTTTACATTTAGTGCATTATGCTTACTGGTACTTCTTACATCAGTTCTGTTTGTAGTTTGGGCAGCTATTTTGTTTGCAGTTTGGGCAGCATGTGTGATTAGGCTTTTATGTTTGCTTTGCTCAAATGTATTTTCCTCAAAACATTTTCTCACAGATTCTTCTGGACAGTTTTTTTGCACAGGTTGGTTCTCGCAGAATTTTTGCACAATTTGTTTTCACAGTTTTTTTGGCACAGATTTTTCGCAAGTTTTTTGAAAAGATTCATTTTGAGTTTGACATTTGGATCTCTGTGCGTTCGTTGGGGATCACAGGTGACACCATGAGTTCTCTGGGGATCATAATGGGTAGTTTTGTTCAGGATACCAGCCTCACTGTGAGTTCGTTGGGGATCACAGCCAGTAGTTTTAGGGAGGATACCAGCCTCAGTCATGTCAAGCGCGGTAGTTTTGGAGAGGCTACCAGCCTCAGTCATGTCAGTACGTCTCTTCTTGTGGACTCCGGACATCGCCTGGGACATCTTCCATTTCTTACTTCTCGGCATCTGCAAATACATGAAATATTAAACCTTCATTTTCAATATAAAAATAAATATAATAAAAGAACTGATTGAGGAATTAGTAAAAATTATTATCAGTATAAACTAGAGCTGTCGCCAGGATGGCTGACAAATATTCCCGCTTCCGGAAAGTTATGTAAATTTGAGAGTTATACTTCAACGTATTTAGCAGGATAAATAATATGCATTATATGCCGGTGCACAACTACATAAGATACCGATCGTTCATGCAAAGTTTCAATGAAATCCGCCTGTTAGTTAAGGAGGAGTTGCATGGACAACTATTTCACAAAAAGGGTCAAAACTCCATCAAAAAGGGTTGAAATCCTTATTTAAAATGCCGCTGCACAACTACATAAGATACTTATCATTCATGCACAGTTTCAATGCAATCCACCTGTTGATTAAGGAGGAGTTTTCCGGACAAGTTACTGCGGACGACAGACAGGGTGATTCCAGTATACCCCCCTAACCTCGTTGCGGGGGTATAATTATTTCCTACGCTGTAATTTAAAAAGGAATCCTCAGTTTAGATCTAGCTTTGAAATTCTGAAATGTGACTTACCGAAAAAATAATTAAGGTAAAGAGTTAGACTAATGGTTAACATGTCAACTCCAAGCAAGAAAAAATACAAAATCTATTCAAAAACCAAGATCTTGAAACAAGATTTAAAACACAACAATAACTTGTAGTACAAAGTATAAGTCCAAACTGTCTGGACATGATTGAAATACTGAAACAACTGTATAAGTCTTTAAAAACTAGATTTAAATCAGTGTGAGCTTCCGATTTCCTCTCGCACATGCGAATAGTTTCAAGGCCATTATGTACCAATGTCTGAGATATGCTGCAGAAACCTACAATTATATTGTTTTTTTATTAATCGACGACAAACTAAGGTCAATTGTTTTTAATTTCTTGAACAACATACAAAGTCAAATAAAATAAGAGTGCCGCCGGAGAACAACAAAATATGCCAAACCGACATACTTAAAACTTTTGAAATATAACAAAAAGGAAGTGCATTTGTACTGTATTATGCAAATTCAGTCATATTTGACTTAGTTATTGAGTGGAAACCATCAACCAATCAGAGCGCAGTAGGTTAATTACTTAAGATTTTGTAGAATATAAATATTTGCAAAGATTGATCATAATCTGGTCATATTTCACCTATAATAAGTTATTGTGCGGAAACCATCGACCAATCAGAGCCAGTACACTAATTAATTATGCGTGGATTTCAATTCCCTCAATTTAAAACTTTTTGTTCTGCTTTTGTTGTATATTTGCTCACTTAGTTTCATCAAAAACGAATGACACTAAGTAAGTTATCTTGCTGAAAACAAAGTGTAGATGGACAGACAGACGCCTACCTGGACACTTACCATACCATAATACGTCCTGCCAAAAACTTTTGAAGGGTGTACAAAAACCCAGTTCATAAAAAGATGTTTGGATGCATGGCCCACTGAAATCATTGAATAGGATTGAAAGTTTAGACTATAGTGTATGTATCTAGTACTACAAAATTTTAAATGTAGATGGAAGTTGAACTTGAAGGTGTGTATTTGCAAACAAGCAGTGCAGGATATGGTGTCAAGAAATATATATTCAATGACCTTGGTCTTTAAATTATTGTCATTCAATATTAAAAGCTTTGTTTAAAGATTCTGTCTAGTGTGACCTTGATCTTGGACATATGACCTTGACCTTCAACTTGTCTCGATGCAAAAGGTTGATGTTATGGATACTTATAACTTTCATATAATTTTGGTGAACATAAGTCAGAATTCCTGACATACGGACAGTTCAAATGTACAATTCTTTAGTGCTAAGTAACACCAGTTGAAATGTATCACGATATGTACAGCAATATTAGAAATATATAATGAAAGTATCACAATATTTTTGTACAGTTGTATTGACAAATGATATTACATTTAATTGTTTGCATCTTGTGTTACTTTAAAGTCAATAATAAGACATTTTGAAGACTTTAAACCAAAGAACATCAATAAAAGTACATAAGCAGCCAGGTTCTTGGAACAGGGAAGCTTTGACAGAAAGGTTAACTTTTGTTTTCCGTACGAGAAATATTTAAGGATGGTAACTCTAGATTAACAAGTATCGCTATAGTTCTGAATTATCAGAATCGTATCATAATTCGTTGTATATAATAATGCATAAGAATTTCGCACTACAATTCTTACATCAGGTCAAGAATCTGTAGTTGGGTCAATAACCTTGCCATGAAAGCACTAGCAAGTCTAGATCTTCAAATTGCTTCCAGATTCACATCAGTAGTTCTTGTGTATCGTGTAATGAACATCTTTGGGTTGTAGTCGGAAAACTTAATATGAAACCAAATGTGCAATTTTCTGCATTCTGTAGCTTTTCTTGAACCTTTGATCAAGACCTTCACCGTCTTCAATGTCTATATGTCTCTTATGAGGTCACTAAACTCCAAATAGACAAACAAACCATGACCTTCCACTGTGCATGTACTCAACAGATTGATGTCGGGAATTAAATGTGCGAATCTTCATGAAACTTGGTAAACAGGTTTAAAGCTTTAGTCAACAAGTCTGCCGCACCATGGCATAATTCTTTTGCCCTTTTAACAGAACAGATACGCTTAAATTGGACATCAAAGCTGAGCTGGTAGCAGAGAAATTTGTAGGAAGAAACAATATTCTACAACTAGAATAAAATCTGTATCTGTGTATCATGATAAATTAATCCATGTCTTCTTGACCTGTTTTCAGATGGGTCGTAAAAGAAAACTTGTAAAGCAAAATGCAGGTAAGACAAAAGTCATGATTTTTTCTATTGAGAGTTTTGTAAAATGATATAATTATTGGTAGCAATTCGTCTAGTTAAACTATTTTGCAAAATCTAAAATAAAAAAAGGTCAAATACAAGCATTTTGACAATTAGCTTTCTCTCTTTTAAAAAGAAATAATTAATTAATGATAAGTATATTAGTTTACTACTACTGTGGTATATTAGACATGCTTCTTTTGAGTTCTTTAATTTGTTTATGACCTATACAAAAATCTGGATGTTTCATGACAATTTCCTGCTCCATTAATTAATTAGACTTGCTGTCAGATGGTTTGACCATAAAGGAAAATCAACATGACACACCAGGTGTACAACCGCTGTAAAAGACTGCTCTTTCCTAACAACAGGTGGTTGGGTCTTCAAACCTTGATTGTATACATAATGAAGTCAAGTGTTACATATATATATATACAGATACAAGACAGTATAAACCTCTGTAATAGGAAGGAGTATTGAAAAATATCCTGCCTGCCTGGGGTACGAAGTAGCCACCTCTCACGCTCTTATTTATAAATGTGTACATCTTACGACTAGGGTAAACGAAAATTTCTACATTCTACAGTTAGTTTTACATTTATGCTAACAATTTTCTACAGATGATAGATTATGAAGTTTATTGACAATCATTGACATCGGTAAAGGCTATCTAACCGTTAATCGATTCTTGTCGATCATTGATATCATATGTGTTATTTTGCAGCCCATAAATCTAAGTGTAACATTGCAGCACATGCTGCAGATTTGCACCCCACAAGTCAAATAATGATAAGCATCAGGTCA